GTGCGCTTTGCGTTCTCAACAGAGACAATGACAGTCCCAAGGAGGAGGGCGAGGGAGTTTTGATAGGTGTGGGGGATCTTACTGTTCGGATGTCCTAAGCACAGGCACACACAGAGCACAGAGGCAGCTATCAAACACAGCTGTGACAATAAAATCTCACAGGAAGGACAGTGAGGGGGAAAGATCTCCAATTTTGCTTAAGGGACAAACTGAGGCTCAGAAGGAAAATGCCAGTGTCCCTCGACCACTGATTTGACAGCCAAGAGGAATCCAGGCTGACCCAGACCGTGACTCCCTGTTTCCCATGAACTGCTGCTGGGTAGTCAGGGCAGACATGGGTGGATGTCTGACCATCCAGCTCTAGAGGACACTGGAAATTAAAACTCTTCAAAGACAAGTTAAGGGCTTGGGGAAAGGTTTGATGGGTAAATTGTTGGCTGTGCAACCACGAGGACCTGAGTTCAGATCCCCAGCCGCCATGTACAAACCAGTGCTGGGGTGGTGCAACCCCAGCAATGGGGGCGGGGCACGGGCAGATCCCTAGAGCTCCACAGCCAGCCGGGCTAACTGAATAGATGAGCTCCAAGCTCAGAGAGACCCTGTCTCGAAGAATAGGGTGGAGAGGTGACTGAGGAAGACATCTGATGTCAATCTCTGAGCTACACACACACACACACACACACACAATGAAAAAAGTCAACAGTGGCTTCCTTCTCTATAGGACAAAGGTCCCAGAGCCAGCCAACCCCTGGGTTCCCAGTGTCCCTCCGTTGTGGTAAGCTATTCACGTCTGAAGAACTCAGAACCATCTGTGAGTCCTCCAAGGCTCTCGGTGATTTTCCTAGTGTCATGGTCCCTGGCAAACAGTAGATGTGGAAGAAATGCGAATTGAACTAGTAACAACTGTACTGAGTTGTATCTGCTATCTTTTGTGACAGGAATGCTCCATAACAAACAAACCCCCAAACCTAGAGGGTTGTTTTTTCACTTGGTATTTTGGTGTTTTTTGTTTGTTTGTTTTGAGACAAGGTCTCATTATGTAGCTCTGGCTGTCCTAGAACTCACTTTGTAGTCCAGGCTGGCCTGGAATTCACAGAGATCTGTATGTAGTTGGCATTTATTTGGGAGCTACCAACCAGCTCCCAAATAAAGACACAGAGACTTATTATTAATTATGAATGCTCGGCCTTAGCTTAGGCTTATCCCACTCACTCTTTTAACATAATTTGACCTCTTTCTAGCCATCTACCTGCTGCCCAGGTGAGGTTCAGGGCCTGGCTCTCTTGAGTGCTGCAGCTGGTGAGGGGCAGGATCAGCTCTCCCAAGTTCTGCAGAGGGGTGGAGGGGGCATCTTTCCCTCACCCACACCAGCACATGGCAGATGAGGGGAGCAGGGCCAGCTCACCCACGCTGCTGAGAACAGGATCAGCTCTGCTGTGTTGCCCAGGTGAGGTATAGGACCTGGTCTCCCTGTAGCTGCAGCCAGTGAGGGGAGGAACCAACTCTGTGCAGCCCTGTCTCTCGGCCTTCAGTAACAGAAGCCATGGACATCAACACAGACCGTGGCTGCAGCAGGGCCACAAACCCAGATATGGGCCTTGGCCGCAGCTCGGGCCCACACATCACCATGGCCCCAGGTGGTAAGCAGACCACCCACCTCAGCCTGCTCCTCGCCACCTTCACCTTTTCAGATCTGCCTCTCTCCACAGGGCATGAACCATTCTCTCTCTCTCTCTCTCTCTCTCTCTCTCTCTCTCTCTCTCTCCACCTTATATAAATTACTCATCATAATAGTGCCCAACCTTGTTGTGCCGGGCAGGCCCGTGTTTTCTCGCTGTGGCAGGCCACCAGGGGGAGGTGTGTGGGTCTCCCCCTGCTCAGTTTTAATGGCTTATTTCAGTGTCACATGTCTTAGCAGATGGTTCTACCAGCAATCCTGTGTGAAAGTCAGATTGTTATCCCCATTTTACAGATTGTGACACTGAGGCTCAGAGGTGTTAAATGCCTGGGGCAAACAGCTGGCAGATAACAGGGCTGAGAATTACTCCCAAGCAAGGGGTTCTAGAGCCTCTGGCAGTGTCCCCTTCCAAAGTGCCCTCTTCTATGTTGAGTCTGCCTTTCATCTTTAATGCGCATTGCATAAACATATGGGAATGTGACACTGTCCCACACATGCAGAGAGTGGACTCTGTCCCGAGGAAAATCAGGCCACACTTACTCCATGTGCGGTCACAAAACATTACAGCCTCAAGGAACCTTTGTGCTCGCTTTTACAAGCAGTTTCAATGTGACTTATAACTTATTAACGAGTATAATCAGTTATAAAGTGAAATAGGCTTAAACTGTAAGTATATAAACTTAAGTCTATGTGAAATGCAGTTTTGTGAAATGTATTCAGTTACATAAGCATGTCTTTGTGCTGGAATACAAGTATTAATTTTACAAAATATTTTTTGAGATTATATATATACATATACATATGTATATATATACATATATACATACATATGTATATATATACATACATACATATATATATATGGGTGTTTTGTCTGCATGTATGTCTGTACACCATATTTGTGCAGTGCCCTCAGAGGCAAAAGGTGGGCACCAAATCCCCTAGAACTGGAGTTACAGTTGGTTGTGAGCTGCCATGTGTATTCTGGGATTCTGGGAACAAGACTCAGGTCCTCTGGAAGAGCAGCCAGTGCTCTTAACCACTGAACCAACTCTCCAGCCCCTAACTAGTTTTAATTGTATGTTTGTTTGTTTGTTTTTTTTATTTTAATCCTAGTTTCTACCCAGGTCCTTAACCTCCGATCTTTAGGACCTCAAAAGCAAAGTTTTAGTATGAGTCACCACCCTTCCTGGCCACTGTGAGCACATTCAGCCATTATGTGTTCCTCAGTGTCCAGTGGAGAAGGACTGATTGGCCATGTTCCCCTCCCCATTCCAGTGAATTCTGCTTATGAAAGAGGAAGTAGCCCTGCCTGTGCAGATGGAAACCTGCTGCTATGTGAGCGTGATTGGTACACATCACCCCAAGGTAAGTCTTATGAATCATCCCAAAAAAGTCACCCTTGGAAAAGGACTGGGCTCAGGGCAACCCAGGTACTGGAGATGGCCATGTCTTCAAGACCCTTGGCCTTCTAATGGATGCTAAGAACATCTTAATGCAAGGTTAAGAACTTGATGCTTCATTTATCCCTAGGGTTTTCTCCCTGCCTCCCTCCCTCCACCTCTCCCTCCCCACCTTCTTTCCCTCTTTTGCTGTGGGGATGAACCTGGGGTCTTATGAATGGGAAGCACACACTTCATCCTTGAACCAGAGCCTCAGTGCTTAGTTTCCTGTTAGACGATGCATGCTTCCCAGCTAAGCATCAAGGGTACCTTCATTAGGAACCTTCTGGTTGTGGGCTGGGGAGATGGCCCAGTGGGTCAAGGCCTGCTGTGCAGCAGTGAAGACTTGAGTTTGAATTCCAAGAACTCACATACACACACACACACACACACACACACACACACACACACACACACAACGAAGAAGAAGAAGAAGAAGAAGAAGAAGAAGAAGAAGAAGAAGAAGAAGAAGAAGAAGAAGAAGAAGAAGAAGAAGAAGAAGCTGGCTATGATGTCAAGTGTCTGGAACTCAGTGCTGTGCTGTGGGGCAGAGACAGGTGGATCCTGGGAGCTCACTGGGTAACCAGTCTAGCCAAAATGACAAACTTCCGGTTCTGTTGAGACACCGTGTCTCAAAAAATAAGATGGAGAGCGACAGAGGAAAGACATCCTGGCATCAGTCTCTGGCCTCCACACATGCCCACTCACACGGGTGAGTGCACCCATGCACACACGGGTGCATACTTATTCACATACACACACATCTAAAAAAATCTTCTGGTTATAATGGAAACCCAGGTCAGATGGGCATTAGCAGGGAATTTATTGGCTTATGGAGGAAGGGTGTAGGAAAATTTTGCTAAATATAGAAACCACGGCCTTAGAATCCGAAGCCAAGGCGGGGTCTGTTGGACTTATTACTCATCCATCTCTCACCTTTGCTTGGCTCAGCCTCTCTTTAAACTTGACCTTCACAGATGGCCATCAGACCCACAGATGCCCCCCAGCATAGTTATCCTTTAGAGGGAAGGCTTTTCTTTCCTGTTAGCTGTCCAGTGCTATGAGGATTACATGCCTACACTGAAATCAATATTTTTTATCATAAGATAGGGCCATCTGTCTCATGGACAATGTGTTTCTGGGGCCAAAGTCCACTGATAAAAAAAAACCTGGGAAATAATAAAGCAACTTGCATAATGTTGAGATGTGGAAGTATGTAGATCAGTGGAAGACAGAAAGCTTTGTTTTCTTTTTCTTATTTGTATATGTTTGTGTATATGATCTAAATATGTATATGAGTGTTTGGATGTGGTGTGTGTACGTGTGTGCGTGCGTGCGTGTGCGCGCGCGCGCATGCACACACTTATAGAAGTCAGGGATTGACATCTTCCTCTATTGCTTCAACTTACATATTGAGGCAAAGACCCCCACTCCTTAAAACTACATTTTGGCCAGATGTTGCCGCACATAACTTTAATCCCAGTACTTTGGAGGCAGTGGCAGGTATGTCTCTGTGGGTTCAAAGCCAGCCTAGTCTACATTGCAAGTTCCAGGCTAGCCAGGGCAATATATTGAAACCTCATCACAAAAGTAAATAATAATATTTTTATGTATTTATTTGTGTGGTGTGTGTGTGTGTGTGTGTGTGTGTGTGTGTGTGTGTGTACATGTATGGGGGTCAGAGGACAAACCTGGGGGAGTTGGTTCTCTCCTTCTACATTGTTGGTGCCCAGGACTGAACTCAGGTCATCAAGCTGGGCAGAAAGCCACTTTAATTGCTGAGGTATGTTCCCTGGCCTCATTGAAGAGAGTTTTGGGGGATTCCTAGGTCCCATCTCTGCCTCCCAAGCACTAGACTTACAAGAGGCAAACATACTTACATTTACATGGTTATTGGGATTTGAACTCAAGTCTTCAGGCTTAGCTGCTCACACACATCGAAACATCTCTCCTGAAAGATGGAAGGTTTTGAAGAATTAGGAAAGTCTAATTGTCCTCTTGTGTGGCAATAAGGGTTTTACTTACAGACAGAGACCAATACTCCCCGTGGAAGCCATCAGAGAGACATCAAAGAATGCCATCACAACGGCAAGCCTGTGGATAAAGAGGACAGAACGCACAGGGTTATTGCAGTGCAAACTGAGGGACACACACACACACACACACACACCCCGTGACTTAAAGCTATTTCTCTCTGCCAGTGCCATATCCTACCAGCAGTCTCCAGACTCACCCTTCCAGAACTTTCTTAAGCTAGAGTGTAACTTTTACAAGAGATAGATACTGCAGCCTGGCAGGATGCTGTCAGTGAAGCAGAGATTGGCTTTAACTATTGGGGAAAGAATGCCATGACCATTGGACTGCTCTGTCCAGCCAGCATGAGGGTGGAAGAATAGACCCCCAGAGACAGAGGGGGGTGAAGAAATAGAAGACACAGCTTTTAATCTCCCTGTTTTCTGATTTTCAAATCACGTATCAGTTCATTAATAATGAACTTATGGATTCTGGTAATGCCCCAAGAACTCCCTGGCACAGAGCAAGCGCTCGTAAGTACTCGCTAATTTGTGAATGAGTGATGAATGAATACACATTAGCACCTGTTCCAGGAGGGGGCAAAGGAGAAACACTCAAGCTCTGCTTTTCTGGGTTCAGACTACCTCAGCTGGACCTTTAGCTCCACTGCTTTCTGACATCTTAGCCTTAGGCAAAATCCTCTACATCGAGCCTCAGTTTTCTTAGCTATGAAATGGGGTAGTTGTGAAAACTGAATATCGTACTCTGAAGTATCTGCCCTTGGTTAGGGCAGGTCTGGGTGACACCACTGACCACTGTGGGAGGAGATAGGAAGTTCTTGTCTAGTCCTGACATTAAATAGGAGTCAGTGGAGCAAGTGTTTCCAATCCATCTCTCTGCCCTCAGTTTGGTCCACCGGAAAATGAGCAAATTGGTCCAGGTTACTTTTCAGTCAATTCTGTTCACATCTCTGGCACTGAGGCCGAACAAGGGCTTGGTGACAAAGAACTTATTTTTCTCGAGGGACAGGGGGAGTGGAGGGAGCAGGTCAATAGAGAAGCTATCCCATGATGCCCTCAAGGACTGAGTCTCCCTCACTCTGCCCATCATCCTTAGCAAATGAATGTCGACTTAATCGTTTTCAAAACCAAAGGCACAAAGGCAGGCAGAAGGGTGGTGAAGAACAAAAGCCAAGCAAACCAACTTTTTTTTAAAGCCCATTCCTAAAAGCTGCTTTCTCATTGGCTAGAACCGGGTCACATGGCTACCCTTTTCTGCAAAGGAAGCTGGGAGAATCTTAACTGAGCACCTTGTCTGAACAGGAGCTGAGGCTTCTGCCAGCACAAGGAGGATGGCTATTGAAGGCAGACCTGAGATGGTCAAGAGATAATAATAATTATGAACCCACCTGGGTTCATATAGAAATACATTTAGTTATTGGTGTGTGCAGTCTCCTGTGTGGAAATCAAGGAGAAACTTGCAGAGATCGGTTCTGTCCTTCCACCGTGTGGGGATTAAACGCAGGTCATTCGTCTTGGCAGCAAGCACCTTGACTCCTGAGCCGACTTGCTGCCCCAAAATGTGCATATCAGATGATGACTGTAAAACTGAGAAGAAAGCCTTGTCCTGTGATTACAAGTCATTTAGAAGACTCCCCACATTCTGTTTCTAGAACCCCATTGTCTTTAATGAAGGGTTCTGTTTATAATTTCTCACTTAGCTACTGAGGCAGAATTCTCTGTAGGGAAACACGTCTCCTCCTGAGGAAGCCCTCAGGGGATAGAGGCAGGAAGTCATATTGTAATTTGTGTGGCGCTCCTCGTGAATGGAGTATCCTTTTTCCAATGTCCCTGGCGGGCCCAACCATGCCAGTGTGAGTGTTTATGAGGCCTTTGATGGCCAATCCTGTGAAGCACACGACTCATCAGAGGCCAGAAATGCTGTCAGATGACCAAGTAAATGAAATCATCATAGAAGTGGAGAATGTTCCATCGGGAGTCCAAAGACATGTAGCCTCAAATCAGATTTTTCCAAGAAAGTCATCAGCCAACTCCACCTTTGACATGGTTTCATCATCAGTGGTGGACACCATAGACAGTCAGATCTTCAGCAATGGGAATGACAGAAAGCCCCGGTTGTTGAGATTTTCATCTCTGAATGAATCAATTTCTCAGAGCCATCATGGCCCAGAGTCCCTGGGCATGGATGAAACCTGTAGTTTCCATGAAACTGTTCAAGGTATGGAACACTCGGGAAAAGTTACAGAGGTAGCTTTAAGGTTGTCTACAGGTTATTGTTGTTTAAGTGTGTGTGTGTGTGTGTGTGTGTGTGTGTACGTGTACGTGTACATGTACATGTACATATGCATGTGTGGAGGTCAGAGGACAGCTTTGTGAAGTCAGTTCTCTCTTACCTTTCCCTGGGGTCCAGCTTCTGGGGATTGAACTCAGGGCATCAGGCTTTCACAGCAAGGGCTTTTACCTGCTGGGTCTTGCTGGCCTCTGCACTCTATTTTTTGAGACAGGGTCTTTTCCTGTCCCCCGGAGTCAGCCAGACTGGCTGGCTAGTCAACCCCGGGACTCCTTCTGTGTCGGCCTCCCCGTCTCTGGGGTGATGAGTGTGTGGTGCTGGGCCCAGCTTTTCACACGGCCTCTGGGGGTCCAAAGTCAGATACTCACACTCCTGTGGCAAGCACCTGACCCACTAACCCATCTCTGTAGCCTTTAAAAAGTTTTTAAAATATCAAGTAATTTTCAAGGGGCACCGTCAGTAATCTAAAGGGTGTTGGAGATGAAGAGTGTCTCTCTGAGACCTGCCTACTGAGCGCTGCTTTTCCAGGCAACCTTACCTCTTGTGCCTGAAGTTCAACCATCAAGTTGACCTTTGTGAGGCGCCGAATTTAGTTACATTTTTCTCGCACTCTGCACCTTTGAGGCAGGGCTTAATGAGGAGACTGAGGCTCAGGAAGCATCATTGTCACCATGGTTTCATGAGACAAGACAAGATGCCTCATGGCTAGGTTCATCCTGAGCCCGGATCTTAGCTGAGACCTGCTGGTCTCTGAGCTCCCAAGGCCAACATAAATGCCGTTTCTCTCTCACCCCGTACTACTTCAGACATAGGCCTGGGGCTGGGCTCAGTTGGTGGAGTGTTTGCCTAGCGTTTCAAAATCCGTGGGCTCTACGCCGGCACCATATGCACGGGACATGGTGGTATGTATCTGTGGTCCTGGCACTCATGAGGTAAAGGAAGGAGGATCAGAATTCAGTGTCATCTTTAGCTATGTAGGAAGTTGGAGACCAGCTTGTGTTTCATGAGATCTTAGACAAGACATTCTTTCAATGTTTTTGTTCTAGGTATAAAGTCAAGCCTGTGCCAGTAATTGCTAGGAGAAGGGGAGATGTAGCCACACCCAACCTTTTACAAATGGTCAGGGCATCCTTGCTCACACTGCCTGCCCCTCCCTGTTACTCTGCGTTGTCCCTCCCCTCCCCTCCCCTCCCTTCCCCTCCCCTCCCCTCTGTCTTGCCTATCCTGCACAGGGAAGGCAAAAGCTCCTCCTTTTCACCAGAGTAAGTCGTTGCCCATTGAGGAGCCCCCTTCCACCTCTATGAGCCCAGGGCTTCCTCTGAGGCTTTCTGGCTCCATGTTGTATCTGAGCCTGAGGAGCATCCCACACCTGCACTTTAGCAGGGCATCCATCCAACCAGTCACACTCACTGTTAGCAGATGGTCACAGCAGCTCGGACCTACACCTGACACACACTATCCAGAGGAAGAAAGGTGGTCTTTTGCCTGCCCCTTTTTTTTGTAGAAAAAAGAAATTCTTTCCCAGAAACTTTTCAGCCAACAGTACATCACACTTTCTTTTTTTGATCTTGGGAAAAACAGAAGTATTGGATTAGAATAATCTAAATGTTTGTTTTGATTTTGAGCACATATGTATGCACACACACACACACACACACACACACACACACACACACACCTTCTGGTCATGCCCATTTATGGCTTTGTTTTTTGAGATAGGGTCCCACTATGTAGCTCTAGCTGACCTGGAAGTCACTATCTAGAGCAGGCTGGCCTTGAACTTACAGGGATCTACCTGCCTCTGCCTCCTGAGTTTAGGGATTAAAAGTTTGCATCCCTTTGAAAGGCCCCAGTCGTGATTTTCGGAATCCCTGAGTCTATGTTATCACCTTTATCAGTCTATTTGGTGCTGTGTGTCCATTGTTTGGCACTGGGAGACTGAGGGAACAGAACCACCAGCTCCAGGCCATCGTGGGCTATAGAGAGAACAAGAGTCTGTCTTCAAATAAATAATGCTCTAGTTTCAATACCATAACTGACTGATTGATTAATTTATTTATGGGAGTGTGCAGGACAGACTCTCACTGGGTAACTTAGAAAAGAAGGCCGTTATTTGGGATTACAGTTCATGGGGTTAAGAGTCAGCCGTAGCAGGGAAGCATGACAATAAAGAGCAGGCATGGCGACTGGAACAGGAAGCTGAGTGCTCACATCTGGAACTGAGAGCAGGAAGTAGTGCTAACTGAGAATGGTTCAAGTCTTTAAGCTCTCAAAGCCTCCACCCACTCCGTGGTGCACTTCCTTCAACAGGGCCACACCTCCTCAGCCTCCCCAAACAGTGCCACCAACTGGAGAACAAACATTCAAATGCCTGAAACTATGGGGAAGATCTCACTCAAACCTAGATTGGCCTTGAATTCACTATGGAGCCCAGGCTAGCTTGGCTGTGAACTCACTGTGGAGCCCAGGCTAGCTTGGCCATGAACTCACTGTGGAGCCCAGGCTAGCTTGACTGTGAACTCACTGTGGAGCCCAGGCTAGCTTGGCCATGAACTCACTATGGAGCCCAAGCTAGCTTGGCCATAAACTCACTATGGAGCTCAGGATAGCTCTGGGCTTTCTATCTTGCCTCTGCTTCCCAGTTCTGGGATTGTAGACATGCACTGCCAAGTCTCGCTCCAGTTTTAGCTTTTAAAATGTTAAGACTGTGTTAAAGAAATAAGAAACAGAACTCTGTTCATTTTCTTCTGCAGGACAAAAACTAATTGCGTCCCTGGTTCCCATGACATCCAGAGACAGAATCAAAACCATCAGGAACCAGCCGAGGACCATGAAAGAGAAGAGAGAGCTTAGGTGTGGCCTTTGTTCTTACCTGGGAGACTCAGTCTACTGCTTTTATCCCATCTCAAAAAGATAAGAAATGAATAATACAGGAGACAGTTCTTCTGTAAGAGAAAGCTTTACAGGGTGGAAAACCTCACCCCTACCCTGTAGGGTTTCTTATGTAGCATTATCTGGCCTCAAATTCAGGATCCTCCTGCATCAGCCTTCAAAGTGCAGAAATAAAGGTGTGTATCACACCCAGGTCTTTGCTTTTTATTGGTATAGGCTCTATGGCCCAGACTGGCCTTGAATTTGCTATATAACCAAAGATTGTCCTGAACTCCTGATCCTCCTGCCTCTACTTCATAAGCGCTAGGATTAATAGACACATGCCTAGCCATGCACCGCTTGCTAAAGGCTGGGTCTTGACCTGTCTACCTAGAGGGCATGTGCACCGTGGTCCATGACTACTTCCAAAGAGGATTCTCTGGAGAAAAGCAAGTCTCCAGTGTGGTATAGTTACCACTGCCTGGGCCAGGTACTTGCTTAAGTTAGCTTCCCTAAAAGATAAGGCATGTTCTGAAAAGGGCAGTCCCCTCTTCAAGCCCAGACCTTAGGGTAACCAGAGAGATGCATTGGGCAAAACCTCCAAAATCTCTGACTCAAATGTCTTCATGTCACCAAAGGCAAGGGAAGTCTGAGAACCTGACACAGAGGAGAGGATTCTAAAGAGGCAGGACAGCAAATGCAATGTGCGGGGGCCTGAGCAGGCAGGGAGGAGAAACTGGGAAACTCCGAAGCAAGCGTCTGGATTTAGGTATCAGAATACACACGTGCTGGCTTCGTTTTGACAAGTGTACTGTATTAGTTACTTTTCTACGGCTGTGATGAAACACCATGACTAGGCTACTCACAGAAGAGTTTATTTGGGATTGTGGTTCTAGAGGGTAAGGGTCATGATGGCAGATGGAAGGCATGGTGGCTGGAGCGGTAGCTGAAAGCTCACATCTTGAACCACAAGAAAGCGGAGACAGCGAGCTGAGAATGGCCTGAGACTTTGAAACCTCAGAGCCCACCCACAGTGATGTACTTCATTCAGCAAGGTCACATTTCCCAAAGCGTAGTGCTAACTGGGAACCAAATGTTCAAATACCCTCCCACCCCAGCCTCTGGAGAACATCTCATTCAAGCCAACACACCTACCATGGAAAGTTGAGAGTTGACAGGGCAACCTGGGAGAGGCATGTGGGAACACTCTACATAGCCTAAAGGCTTACTATAAATTTCAAACCACTCTAATTTTAAAAAATTTGTGCTATTTTTAGCAAGCACCCAACAGAAACCAACCAACCAAATGAAAAGGAACAATGGAGGAGAGAGTTCAGTTGGAAAATGATCGCCATGCAAGCATGGCGACTGAACTTAGATCATCAGAACCCATGTAAAAGCTGACACAGTGACCACTGTGTAATTCCAGCACTGGAGCCCTGGA